GTTGCAAGCAGGTCTGCGAAGATATATATATGTGACAGCAAAGACGTGAGCCACAAAAAAAAATATTTACTTTGCTCTTCCGGTAAAAGGGGTTGGGGGGGAATGCGAGAGGAAGGAGGAGGATTTCATTTTGCGCCTGCGTGTTATGTAACACAGTGGGTGCATTCTGTTTGGCTTTTAAATGAAGCCTCTTTGTCAGCCTGTCAGGACTTTCTCGCAAGCTGTTTTGCTGTTGCGCAAGGTAGCCTGACGCGGGGCAGAGCTGGGCTGAGCTTATACGCGCGCGCTCAGCTAAGATGCTCAGCCTTGCTGCGTTGGAAGTTCCTGGACTGCTAATAAATTGTATAATGGTACAGTTGGAAGTGACCTCGAGGGTCATCTAGTCCAGTACCCTGCAATGCAGGAATCTCAGCGGAAGCCATCCAACCTCTGCTTAAAAAGCTCCACAACCTCCGAAGGGAGACCGTTCCACCGTCGAAGCTCTTACTGATGTTCCATCAATCTCCTTTCTTGTAACTTGAATCCATTGGTTCGGAATCTACCCTCCAGAAAACAAGTTTGCTCCATCTTCCATATGGCAGCCCCTAGATATTTGAAGATGGCTATCATATCTCTCAGCCTCCTATTTCACAGGCTAAACACACCCAAACTGTTCCTCGTAAGGCTTATTTTCAAGACCCTTTATCATCTTGGTCCCCCTCCTCTGCACATTCCTGCTTGCCAATATCCTTTTGCACAGGGCAGAATAGAGTGATGCTATGACTTCCCTTGATCACGACACTATGCTTCTGCTGATGCAGCCTAGAATAGCATTAGCCTTTTTTGCTGCTGCATTGCCTTGTACTCATGTTAAGCTCGTAGTCCACCAAGACTCCTGGATCCTTTTCACAGGTGTCGTCCCCCCCCCATCTTAGATTTGCACATCTGGTTCTTCCTTCCTAAATATAGAACCTTACATTGCCCCTACTGAAATTCATTTTGTTGGTTGGGGCTCAGTTCTCCAATCTGTTAATGTCATCTGGAATCCCAGTTGTCTTCAGCAGAACCTTTCCTGATGACACCACCTGTGCAACAAGTAGTTTACTTCCAGAGCAATTCTCAATGTTACTTCCAAATTGTACAATTTAAATACACGTAAAGGGTATAAAACTGATTTTTGGAAGGGTCTTCCAGACACTGTACTGTGGCATTTTGTGGAACCTGCATCACCTTGTATGCCAGTATTTACACACATTTAAATAAGTCCAAAAGGAAAGCATGGGGTGAGTGAATGTCACTTGCTTATTGGGGATAATGTGTTAGTTGTTGCAAAAAGAAATAGCCATGTGGCATCTTAAAGACTAACAGCCTTATAATGCTATAATTATGATTATGGCATAATGTTTCTTAGGTTAGACATAACTGGCAGAAATACGTATTTGTTTATTTCTCTCCTGCCACTGAAGATTAAAAATTAAAAGCGTAAGCAAAATTTCATTTTTAAAAAAACAACCCAGCAAAATCTACTAGCCAGCTAACAGAATTATTTAGTAAAAAGATGAAATTACAAGACATTTGCTGGTTTCATTATCTTTGTACAGGTTACGTGTCAAGAATGCATCTGTCAAGAATTTTCAGCTAAGGATAAACAGTTCTGTTACTCATAATGAAAGTGTTCTAAGCATAAAATCAGCATTCAGTTTAGGTTAAAGGAGTGGCCTGTGACGCTATGCTAATTGTTCATGAGTGATATTGTTAACGCAGTAAAATGAGGATGCACCTTTTGGAGCATCCCTGACCACTGGCTCCAAGCTCCATGACCATCACCTGCCAGTTAACATATCTGAGGTTGCAAAAGAGAACTGCCTTTTTGATCATCAGATATCCAAGGCACTTGGTCACTTTTGACTTTGACGAAAGCTATGTGTGTGCTAAACTGCACTTTACAGAGATGTATTAAGAGCATGCAGGACTCGTATAGCCCACTTGTGAAAGACTGTCAAAATGACCCTTTGTGTCCCTTGATTCCCCAAACTGATTCCAATCATTAATGGTTTGTGTACACATATATCTGCTGCTGGAAAACATCCCTGGCAGAAGTGGATATGCATAACTGTTAGCCCTAAGCAGGGATGAAGAGTAAATAGTGTTTGCTAAAGGACTTGCGATGATATAAAGGAACTACAAATTCCTCCCCGATGCTTTAGGGGTAACAGGAAGATTATCCCTTCCCTTCCCCTCTGAAGCAGTCCTTTAGGAGAAGGATTTCCGCTACAATATATATATATATAGATGATGCTGACCTTTAAAGCCCTAAACAGCCTCGGCCCAGTATACCTGAAGGAGCGTCTCCACCCCCATCGTTCTGCCTGAACACTGAGGTCCAATGCCGAGTGCCTTCTGGCAGTTCCCTTGCTGCGAGAAGCCAAGTTACAGGGAACCAGGCAGAGGGCCTTCTTGGTAGTGGCACCCACCCTGTGGAACGCTCTCCCACCAGATGTCAAAGAGAAGAACAACTACCAGACTTTTAGAAGACATATGAAGGCAGCCCTGCTTAGGGAAACTTTTAATGTTTAATAGATTATTGTAGTTTAATCTTTGTTGGAAGCCACCCAGAGTGGCTGGGGAAACCCACCCAGATGGGCGGGGTATAAATAAATTATTATTATTATTATTATTATTATTATTATTATTATTATATCCCTGGTAAATGGCATTGCTTCACCAATGCTTGAATAATTTGTTTCAAGCCCAAACACCTGTGAGTGGTTTTCTTTTAACATGACACCACCATTCTGGGGAGAAAAAGTGGTAGATTGTCCTCTAACCATCTTTAAATTGTAGATTAAAAAAAAAAAATCCCAATAGGCTTTCATGTGTTCTTAAACTGTGATGAGCAAGCTCACCAACAGAAGTCATACTTGCAATCTAATGTCTTCCCAACTTGTATATGACCATTTTAAATTATTTCACAGACACATTTTTGTATATACTTACCCAAGTATTCGAGGAAAACTGAAATAATTCACTTCATATAAATTTATAATTACAATAAGGCTTCAAACTCTGCACAACTATTTTTTTTCTATACAAAGGAATATTAAACTTAATTTACAAGAAATAAATATAAAGGATAATCAAAGGTAGTTGTTGTTTTGTCTATATACAATACTATATCTGTGACTACATCCTATTAAAAGATGCAGACATCACATATTACTATGTAGGCAAACCTACACACACATCTAGGAGTAAGTTCCTTGGAACTTATTTCTGAACAGACATGTAAAGGATCTCGCTGTTAAGCATCTTTTTCAGTTTTGCATCTAATTATCTATAGTAATACAACATTACTGTACAATGTTTCGAGTTATTCATAACTGAAAGTTGAACTTGTAAAAGGAACTTGTAACATCCACTGTTAAAAAAAAAACCCCACAATTTAGCCGGTCGTGTTTTCCAGTCACGATGCTACGTCTAACGTACCTTGTCAATTAATTTCACTGACGTTAAAAGAAAAAAACAATACAAACTCTTTCGACCATCGGAGGCTGCCTTGAAGCTTTGCTATTATATATTAAATAATGTCCTTTCCTGGGGCGGGGGGGTAGTCTTCTCACATTATGTAAAACGGTTAAAATAAACCTATATGTCACTGTGTGAAACAATAGCAACTTTTAATAATGTCACATCGGTTCAATGAAGTGCAGGCTCCCTCTCTTTGAAGTCCTTCGAAGTGAAATGCAAGATTTCTTAGGGCCTGTGTCATGGTTCTCTTGAAATATGAGCTGTTTCCCTGAAAAGTCAGGAAGTCGGACATCGCCATTCTGCACGTTGAAAGAAACGCCGTTCCTCTCACTGGAGACATTGCCTGAAATGTTTATTAAAAAAAAGTTTGTTAGAACTCGAGCCAGTTGACTGGTTCAATATAGAAGCTGAGTATCTTAGTACTGTATACATACCATTCCCATTTGCTTGCGCTGAGTAATCATTATTCATTAGCATTGAGGTGGAATTGGTGGAGTTACTGTTTGATTGCAAAGAATGGGAGGAAGTGGATACTGCCTGGTTAACATTCTGCTTCTTTAATCCATTTGTAGCAGTTCTACTCCAATCTGCAGCAAAATAAGGATTACAAAAGAATGATTATGTATGTTAAAGCCCCATTCAAAAGTACTATTAATAAGGTAATTTAAACCTCATATCTATAAAGCCCCTATTCCCCCCCTCCGATGGTTTTATAACTATAGATTTTGCCAATACTTTACATTTTTTTAATTGTTGTTTTATCCTTGGTAATTTAGAAAATGTTGACTATCCAAATTCTCTTAATACCAAAGTTCTCTAATTTCACTAATAACAAAAACTCAGTTTCATAAAATTGATTTTTAATCTGCTTCACATAGCAAGCCAGCTTGCGCTTTGATAAACACTGCAGAACAGTTTCTGCTGATTGCGTAATTACAGAGTTAGAAACAGTAGATTAATTACACTAACAAACCAATACAGTGGTACCTCGGGTTACATACGCTTCAGGTTACAGACTCCGTTAACCCAGAAATAGTACCTCGGGTTAAGAACTTTGCTTCAGGATGAGAACAGAAATCGTGCGGCAGCAGCAGCAGCAGCAGCAGCAGGAGGAGGCCCCATTAGCTAAAGTGGTGCTTCAGGTTAAGAACAGTTTCAGGTTCAAACAGACCTCCGGAACGAATTAAGTACTTAACCTGAGGTACCACTGTATATGGTCTGAAAATGGTTTGTTTGACATTGGTAAATTTATTTGGCGACAGTGAAAAATGTAAATTCTAGATGCAGTCAAAGAAGCCTTACCCAAGCTCAGAGTTCATGCAAGTGTGTCTTCCCAGTCCCTCCTCTGCACAGCACCGTCCTGTCCCCCCCAGGGGGACCATTTGTAACAGTGCGGGATCTGCTTTGTAAGCATTTTCTGCTTACAAAGATACATAGAATTATAGAATCGGAGAACGGTAGAGTTGGGGGTCATCTAGTCCAACCCCTGGTAGTGCAGGAACCTTTCGCCCCATGTGAACCCAGGACCCTGAGATTAAGAGCCTCATGCTCTACCAACTGAGCTATCCCAGCACCTTTGGATTCAACTCACTGCGACTACACACATTTTAATTTTAACATTTTTAAAAAAAACATATTTACCAGAATTTTCAGCCAGTCTGTACTTTCCACAACACAGATACCTTCTCCACTGCTTGCGGACATTCTCCTTCGCTACACAGTAGAAAATAAAAATGAAAAACCCTGCAAAAAAAAGAATGTGTTAAAGTTTAAGGGATGCACTGGATTTACCTGGTTTTTTAATTATTTATAAAACTGCTAGATCATCAAAGAGCAGGATTCAACTGATCCTATTGCAATAATAATAAATAATAATAATAATAATAATAATAATTTATTATTTATACCCCGCCCATCTGGCTGAGTTTCCCCAGCCACTCTGGGCGGCTCCCAATCAAGTGTTAAAAACAGTACAGCGTTACATATTAAAAACTTCCCTGAACAGGGCTGCCTTAAGATGTCTTCCGAATGTCAGGTAGTTGTTTATCTCTTTGACATCTGATGGGAGGGCGTTCCACAGGGCGGGCGCCACTACCGAGAAGGCCCTCTGTCTGGTTCCCTGTAGCCTCACTTCTCGCAATGAGGGAACCGCCAGAAGGCCCTCAGTGGGACCAAAGGATTGCATCCAGATAGTGCTTTGTGTGCATTGTACAGAGTGCTATAAGTATTCTGTTAATTATGTCTTAATACGATCTACTTTAAAAAAAACAAAACCAAGAACATACCTTGCAAGGTGTTAAAGATGGCAAAGAGATACATAAATGCAAGATTTACAGGACCCCATGCAAAAAAGGCAAATCCCCAAGTAATTCCCAGTAGGAACGTGAGGCCAGCAACACTCCTGAGATCTTGGATGCTGGTTTTTCGCTGGGCACCAAGTTGCTTCTTCTTTTTGATTCTGCAAAGCTGAATCAGCACTACTATGAACATGCTGATATTCAACAAGAATATTGTGCAGAAGTATCCCACAACCGTGATGTAAAACACAATATCATTTTTAATCCAGCAACTAAAAAAAATACAAAACAGGACATGAAAAGTGACAGTCAGTTCCATAAACATTTTGAAAATGAAAAGCTCTAAACTCAGAAAGTCACGTGTCTAGTTCCACGTACAGTAAAGCCCTTTCTCCCCCCCCCCCGGCAGAACAGCATCCCATCATACAACAGAATAAAAAAAAATTGGCCTTGTAGTCTGCTGTTTTGATGAGACCGTTACACATCTACCTTACTTGCAATTGAAGTTAGTAACTAGGCCACAAACTGTCTTTACAGATTAAATATATATATATTTAATCAGATTTTCACTTGGTTTAAATTTTTTACTTTTTCCATCACTGCAATCAAGTGCATTCAAAAGGATGTATCATACCTAAAGTAACACAATGGAATATCTTGTTTCTTTATATTCAGGGCACAATCATGTTTTAAATTTGTGTTTTTAATTTTACATCCGTATTTTATATCATTTCTTTTTCTTCCATCATTCCAGAGATAAGTATGGTACTAACACAGTCACACATATGGCATAGGACCTTGAGAATGATTATTAAGAGGAGCAATAATCATCCCTGTATGATTTTTACTTAAGCAACTTCATACTTTCAGCATATGGCGGTTGTTGCTGACTTACAATTCATCATTTGAGTTGTTGGGAAACTTTCCATAAAAGCCAAGTCCATAGTTATCTCGAGATATTATCAGTACAATGGCTACTACAATTGCTGGTACTCCTGAAAGATAAAAAGGCATTAGGTATATGGAAAATATAGCAAAAACATACTTAGGTTGTTGGAGAGCTGGCAATGAGAACCACTGTATAGAAACAACAGTAAAACATGTATTTAGGATGAAATACAATGTCGTGGGAGCAGACTCTGCTTGCACAAAGGACCGGAATGGTTTCTTCCTCTCTTCCCCTGCACAGCCCTGCATGCCGCTCCTCAAATCTACTCTAGATGATGCTCTGACCTACCAGAGCAGATTTTGGGGACGTGCAGGGAGGGATGCAGGGGGCCAGGAATTTGAAGACACATCATGCTGGTGGATGGGCACTACTTGATATTACAGATATTCAGAGCAATACTTATACATTTATAATCTTTACAACCGCACTATGTAGTATAGCAGGTTTCCTAGAAGGAGTTGAAATCCCACAGATTAGCGTACTCGAAAGCAGTCTGCTGACATCACTGTCAGAAGAGAAACACATGACTACGTATATGTATAAACCAATCTTTTTTTCTGAGAGCTCAGACTGATCTGTTTCAGCAGCACTCCTTGTCTTTGGAATGCCCTCTTCAGGTAGGCCTAGAGCTCCCATTGCTGTCATTTCAGCCAGGGGCAGGTATGCTATTGCAATGCTGCTTGGAAACTGAAGGAAGCGATGGTAGGAAGCAACACATTGCATTTGTACCTATGCAATGCTCTTGTTCACTATTACAAGCCATAACATCCTGGTTCCCTCTGAATATTAATTGCTGAATAAGTTTCCAAGAAATTGTGCCTGACTTTTTTTTTTAAAAAAAGACAAGTATTATGAGCTGCAAAAAATTGTATAATGATCCTATTATTTTAAAATTCACTAAGCATACATGATGATATATTACTTTATCCTTGCAACAACACTGACTTCTATTGTTGTTTCATTTCAGTTAAACTGAATCAATTAAATTCTTAATAAAAAAGCTACTGTGTAGTAAGCTAAGTAGAGAGATAGTGATTTGCCTAAGACTAGATGCGTCTCACAGCTGAAGGTGGTTTGAATCTATGGCTAGATCTAAACAGCTATAAAAAAATGCTCTGAAAATGCTCTGGGGGAAAAACCTTTGTAAAGCTCGCAATGGAAAATATCACCAAATTGCAATTTCAGCTCTACAGCACCATCTGGTGTCACAGTGTTATAATGCATTTATAATGTAATTTGACTAATGTAGCTGAGTTTAACGTCTCGTGGAAATCTAAATCCTAGTATAATTCTATCACACTGTCTACTGCAGCACATTGGCTCTGTGTATAGATCTCCCTTTAGCAACTAACAGTGCAATCCTATATATGGCTATTGAGAAGTAAAGCCCCACTGCGTTCAATTGCTGTACTCTCAGGTGAGTATGGGATTCCATCCTTCTAAACAAGTTAGAAGGACATATATATTCTCATTTCAAATATAAATCCAGAAAGAAATACTTACCCCAGCCAACAATGCAGAACTTTAGGATGTATTTCCTAACGTAAGTATTGAACACTTTGACAAGGGCCAGATACATGTGAAAGGCTTCGAGGCCCATCCAAGTGAAAGAAACCAAAAGGAAATAATGAAGAAATACAGCAACTGAGATGCACAGGCCTTCGTTCTTATACAAAGCAATCCAGGAGTTCAGGAGAAAAACCAGGTTCAGAAGAAGCAAAGCAACACACAACTGAATGAGGATTTTAGAAGGATAATCTCTTCGGATTTTCCTATGAAAACAAGTAATGAACATCGCCTGCATCAATATCAATCACAATATTCAAGAAAAGTGACAGTCTTAATGGTCTTAATGCCATCTGAGACACAAATAACCTTTTCCAACTGCAGTTCAAAGACCATATGTGCAGATGAAATTTTACTAATTTTTAGCTGCAACAGAAATTAATAAATTCCAAGGTATCTTGAAATTCTAAAATCATGTGAAAGACAAGTGTAAAAAGTGCAGTTTAAAAACATGTTTGATCAGTAATTTATTAAGATTTTATTTTATTTTTATTTTTATTTTTTTAAAATTAGCATGGTCCCTAATTTTTCCTGGAGGAAGCGGGCAGACAATATTCACCAATTCTGCTTCTTTCAGCAAAACCCTCATGTGACTCTTACCTCTTCTGGAAACAGAATGATTATTTCCATTTGCAAAAGAACAAGTCTGGATAAAGCTAATTATCTATAACAATAGATAGTAACGCAAATGGAATAGTTTATATTTTTTGTTATAACTAAATTAGAACAAAAATGTTTTGAAAAACAGATACATTGTCTTTTGGGGTGATACATCACTATTCCAAAGAAAAGTGGCATCTAATAATTGAATCATTTATGTCCCTGTTCTTACAGTGAAATTGTGAAATTACTGAATATACACTCTTCTTTTTTCAAACAGGTGTGGGAAGAAACAACAACAACACAGGTTAGAACACAAAAGGTGGGTCGTAGGGTTAGTTATGTTTTTGCACGACACTTCCAGGTCATATCAATTCTTCTTGAGAGCAATATTTTTGGAGTCTAACCAGTCCACTAAGGCATGCCACGTGCTGCAAAATTTGTTCAATGAGTTTCTTTGTATCGATGTCAATTGCAAAGACAAGACGATGCTTTTAAAAATATGCATATTGTTTTATTCAGTATAAGGCAATTTCTATCCCTGACTTCACATAAACAAAACTTTATTATAATCCAAGGTTGTTTTAAATTTTAGCTGTTTCTTTTCTGAAATTTGCTCTCAGCTATAGCAAAATGTCAATGTCCTTCAATATAGTATGATATCCTTCAGTGTGATTACATCTATATTTAAGCCACATCTTCCCTCTTCTGCCTGCCACACAGGGGCTTCTGCAGAACCATCTTGCCCTGAGGGGAATGAGAAGGAGCCGCAACAGCTTCTTCCAAACAAACAAGTTGTCTTTTCCTGTAACTTTTTTTTTTTAAAAAAAAAATCAGCACTTATCACTTATGAAAGGTATTCTGTGAGGTCTACCTGAAAACTGATATATAAATACCTTGAATAAATAAATAATAGATGCAGTAAATAATAACCGTCATTATGATATGATTAGAATTGAGCAGGTACTTACTCAAATGCAATGTATGTAACAAGAGTAACAGAAAGAAAAATGGCTGAAAGGCCACAGCCTATGTACGTGATGAATGTTAGAATCAGCCTTTGTGTGGGAGATATAGTAGTGGTGTTTCTTGATAAATCCTGCAAAGGAAATAATAAATGTTTTCTTTTGAAGCATGAGAACAAATTTCATTTACAAGCC